TCGTCGAGTTCATGCTTCAGACAACAAAAAATCAATTTTTTCTTTCTTTGGACAATACACTATTGCAACAATTCAATTGAAAAACATCCTAGGATCTGATACCACTGATGGGTTTTGAGCATAACAACAATCTTATGTGATCATGCAACCCTATATGCTTTGGATCTAAGTTTTTCATTAATCAAAACCATATCTGAAAATCAAAAAATTAGGAACAGGTGAGTCAACTCACCGAGCTGGACACTGAACTCGTCGAGTTCATCGAACTCTTCGAGTTCCACATTGAACTCGTCGAGTTCATGCTTCAGACAACAAAAAAATCAATTTTTTCTTTCTTTGGACAATTCACTAATGCAACAATTCAATTGAAAAACATCCTAGGATCTGATACCACTGATGGGTTTTGAGCATAACAACAATCTTATGTGATCATGCAACCCTATATGCCTTGGATCTAAGTTTTTCACTAATTGAACATGCAAATTGCATTCCAAAGCAATAACCCTAAAACTAGCATACAATTTTCGAAAAACATATGAAATTAGGGTTAGAATATTACCTCACTTGTTATGTAGTAATAACAAGAACAATCCTTGAAGATCCTTGACTCTTGAAAGCTTAGTGCCTCAAATGTTGCACCTCTAATGGAGTTAAAAACACCCAATGCAACAAGATGATGGGAGAGACAAGGAAAAATCGGATATGGTTTCTAATACATAAACATTGGACAAAAATTCCATGAGGTGGGGTTCTTAATATAACTGTGGGCTGCTAGGGTTTCTGGAGGAAACCCTAATTCCTGCTTAAGGCTTAAGCAGCCCATGGACTCTTGTTTAGCAAGCCTTGGACGAAATCTATAGGGCCTCCGTATAGGATTCTGTCCAATCCTAATTGAGGAGTCCATCAGCCCAGTTCTGCAACTATCAATGATTTGCAAAACAACCCTTCCATTATTAATCAATTCCTTTAATCCCAAAATTAATATCAAATCAATTTATGATTAAATACTAATTAATAATATGATTTCCAAATAATATATCAATCTTGTAATATATTAATAAAATCATTTTGAGTACCAATTTATTATTTCAAATAATAAATTCTACTCTATCTCCACTAGTCATCCTGACAAGTTGCATGAGTGAAGGCAACCCAAAAGGACCATGCTACAATCAAATCAAGTACATACCAATTATAGTTATGGACTCAGACACCAAATCCAACAATGATTCATACCATCAATAATATGATGCGTACTCTTCTCTTCCACTCTCATATTCGACCCACGTTTTGGCCCAAAGCCCTTCACATGGATTCTCATCTCCTTAATATAATTCCATCTGTCTCAATCTCTATTGACACACCCTATTACCGTCTCTTTCAGCATCACCCTGCCTATGATCACCTCCATGTTTTCGGGTGCTTATGTTTTACACACCTCACAACCACTCACAAACTTCAACCTCGTTCCACCCCTCGTGTTTCCCTCAGTTTTCCGATTCACCACAACGGTTTTTGATGTCTTGATCTCTCTACTCGGAAGATCATCCTCTCTCGTCATGTCACTTTTGACGAGACTATCTTTCCATTCGGTTCCATCACCCCCACTGAACCCCCATCCCATGATTTCCTTGACAATGAAGTATCTCCTCTTCTTCATGAGATTCTTAATTCTCCCCATCACATTCCTCATCCTCTTGTCGAGAATCCAAACCTATCACATACTTTCTCGGACCCCCTCCCACGATAAGGGTCCTATAAATAATACAACTCCCTCGACTCCTCACCATTCTCCTTTCCTAACCAACCACCCCATGACCACCCTATCTTAAACAGGGTATATTTAAACCCGTTGATCTTCTAAATCTCCACTCTTCCTCCATATCCTTTATCTTGAGGTCACATGTTCAGGCTTTGAAAGACCCAAACTGGTATAAAGCCATGAACGAGGAATAAAATGGTCTTATGACAAACGGTACTTGGGTTCATATGCCACGTCCACCCGGAGCCAACGTCGTTCGTTCCTTGTGGCTATTTAAACAGAAGATTACAGCTGACGATTCTCTCTTTTTATACAAAGCCCGTCTTATGGAAAATAGGCGCAATAAAAACCAAGGATTGTGATGAGACCTTTAGCCCGGTTGTTAAGCTGACAACCATATGCACTATGCTCAGTCTCGTCATCTCCATACATTGGCTTATCCATCTGATCGACGTGAAGTATGCATTTCTTCAAGGTCACCTTAAAGAGATTGTTTATATACATCAGCCCTCGGGTTTTCGCGAACCTCCATATCCACGTTTGTCACCTTCAGAGATCCTTATATGGCCTAAAACAGTCCCCTAGGGCCTAGTATCAACGATTTGCTCGACATGCTCACCGCATGGGACTGGTATTACCTACTTACTTCTATACGTTGATGATATTGTGTTGACAACATCCTCTACGACTCTCCTTCAGTCCATCATCACCTTATTTAGTCGCGAGTTTGCCATGACAGATCTTGAAGCACTCAACTACTTCCTTGGAATTTAAGCCACACGCTCCACTCATGGTCTTTCTCTCTCTCTTTCTCTCTCTCTCTCTCTCTTTCTCTCTCTTTCTTAGAGAAAGTTTGCCTCTGATATCCTAGAGCGTGCACACATGTACACATGTTTCATTGTAATCCAGGTCATACTCTTGTCGAGACTACTCATAAGTTGGATGCTATTGGACCACCCGTTAATGACCCCTATATTTATCGCAGTCTTGCTGCACGACAATACCTAACCTTCACTCTCTCATACATTGCATTTTTCGTTCAATATATTTGTCTCTTCATGCATGACCCCCGATGGCCTCCTTTTCATGATCTAAAGTGCATTCTACGCACATCCGGGAGGGGGAGGGGCTCTAGATCATGGTATAAGTTTAAACGTCTCCTCATCCTCTGATCGTCATGCATACTCTGATACAGATTGGGGAGCATGCCTAGTATCACGACGTTCGACTTCTGGTTATTATGTTTTTGTTGGTGATAATCTTATTTCTTGATTGTCTAAACATCAAGGTGTTATTTCTCGTTCAGAGTATCGCGGCGTTGCCAATGCTGTTGAAGAGACTTGTTGGGTCCGTAACTTACTTCGTGAGCTTCGGTGTCCGCCTACCAAAGGCCTTCCGACACAGCTTAGCACCAGCGCACGAAACATATCGATATTGACATACACTTTGTTCGTGACCTGATGGCTCGTGGCGAAGTTCGTGTTTTTCACACCCCTTCTTTCGCTCAATATGCCGATATATTCATCAAAGGCCTTCCGACACAGCTCTTCAACAATTTCAAGTCCAGTCTGAACGTTCAGAATTCTCCTTCCGTTCACACTACGGGGGATGTTAGCGGATAGTATTGATGTACCCTTTTGTATATGTTTGGTGTATTGTTATTAACCCATTGTACTAAGCCCGATAAAATTAGTCTTGTATTGTAATCCGCCCTTATGGGTTTTATATATATTATTCTATTAATGAATTATGGCTCTATCAAGTGGTTTGTAGACGGATTCAAAGAAAATGCTTGGACGTTGTGATTCTCACTATTTTGGGGTTCTTTCTAGGTTTATAAATGAGTTGATTTTAGTCCTAAAAATTAAAGATAAATATCCTTTTTGAAAAAACTTGTTACTTGTTTTTATTTTTGGATAGCAAATAGAAACTTCATGCGAAATTAACTGGTTGGATGGTTAAAAATTCAAATTTAAATATAAACAATCATTTTGATAACAAATTTGACACTAGCTGGGGCACCAAAATAAAATTTGGCCAATAGGTTTGACATGAAGTCACAATGGAAATGTGGTATAAAAATTTGCATTAACAAATTGTTGCCCACCTTTTATCGTAGTTAGAATGTTTAGATGCCATAATAAAATATATTTCTAAAAACTTTTATATAATCTCGTCAAAGTAGTTAAGAGTGGCAACTATTTTTGTACAATAATGCGTCATAAAAGCACATATAGTTGAAAATTATATCTTTTGCATGGAAGACATATTTTTCATCAATATTTTAATATTAGTTGGATGATAATATTGATAATATATTGAAGATTGTTTATCCATATTATAAGCTAATTTTGTCGAACAAATTAAGAGTGATAATTAGTTTCGTACAAAAGCTGTCACATTTAAAGTCACAAAACATGAGAAATCATGGAAAATCAATACGTGTTCATGTCATTTGCGTTTGATACCTTTGGTTTCTCCGTACTGAATGCGGTGAAACTTCTTAATAGAATACAACGGATCATTCATAGCAATGTTATTTCTCATAGATCTATGAATGTAGTCTTCAAAATAATTGGTTTTATCATACAAAAAGTTTAGCGGCGCAACTTATTGTCTGTTTGTTTTTCTCACTCATTGTATTGTGATAACTAATTAACTATGAATGAAGATCTGTTTTTCTCACTCATTATATTGAGATAACTAATTAACTATGAATGAAGATCGATTAATTCTCATAGTTCTATAAATTACACATTTTTACAACAAGAACTCAAAATAAACATGTTATGCATATCTAGGCATCTCAAAAATACTTTGAGCGAGTTAAAACACATAACTAACTTCATGATTCATGAACAACTTATGCGAGTTTAGGTCGAAATCACCGTTATTGCCCTAGTTGCTAAATAAGCTTTATTTTTAAAAATCAAAGCATGAACCACCACGACAATATTTTTATTAGAAAAATGCATTCTTAAATTTTCTACAAGTTATGAGGTTTGTTTTTGCAAAATTGATAGTTATTTTGTTATAAATATGCAAAAGATAATCAAATCACGATACAATCTTTATTCTTGTTATTTTGTGATTACCCTTTAATAAAAGCTTTCCCTCAAAATACTATATTTTGGGATGGGATAAGTATAAGTATGTTGTGAAAAAAAAATGATATTACGAGGGAGAATCCATGCTTGATATTGGTCGAGTCTTCATGCCAAAGTAAACACTTTATAATACCACCTTATCATAATCCTCCACATTCAAAACCAACACGACATATTCTTTCTCCTCTTTTGCTTTCTTCACCTTTTTTCCCCTGTCTACTCTCCACTTTATTATCATCGGCACTTTTTCACACTCTCCAATGGCTTTCTCTCTTCCATCACTATACACACCGTCTTTTAAAACAAGCCAAAATCTCATTTCCCATTCAAATCCATCCGGGTCTCCTCCTCTTCCTGCACATCTCATCAACAATCAACATCCACCAGATCCATGGCGAAAAGACCTTCCTCCAAGTGCTTCTTCTTCTTCTTCCTCCAACTGCTTCTGTTTGTATGCAATTCAGGTCAGTTTTATGGTCGTTGATACACATCGGTGCTTTCCGAATGGTTAACTGTTAGTAGTATCTGAAACGGCCTCAGTTTCATGCATTTTAGCGATATTCCGATGGAAATTCATTTGAATTTGTTCGTAAGATTCAGATCCGGGGATAGGGTTTTTAGTTTTTTTGGGTTTTTCTGGTACAGAATAATGCAGGTGTAACTATGAACAACTTTTCTTTCCTTCTTATAAGTGGACTCTGATTTTGACAGTTATGAGCTCGGAAATTTCTCATGCCAAAAAGTCGATTGATTTTGAGAGAAGGGAACTTGATCGGGAGAAACAACAATTGTTTCCTTCTATTCACAGAACACTCGTTGAATATTTCCGCTATAAAATGACGGAATTTGACTCGATCGATCCTCCGACCACCGCCTTACCCACACCTCCGATCACCAATCCGGTCACAAATCCGGTCACTGGCCCTCCGGTCAATACAGCACCAGGGATTGTCACAGTACCTGGTGCCAACCCTGTCGGTGTGTCACCCAATCCACCCACAACAAATCCCGTCACAAATCCATCGGTACCAGTCACTAATCCGGTGACCACGCCAAGCACGAACCCCGGAGGACAGCCGCCGGTGAACCCTGTTACAACACCATCTGTACTGCCGCCTCCAACGACATCAGGAGGAAACGCTCCGGCAGGTCCAGGTCGAGGGCAGAGCTGGTGTGTAGCAAAGAGTGGAGCGTCACAGGCGGCACTACAGGCGGGGCTTGATTATGCATGTGGGATTGGCGGAGCTGATTGTGCCACGATTCAACAGGGTTCAAGCTGTTATGAACCAGCCACGCTTCAGAATCATGCTTCGTATGCTTTTAACAGTTATTACCAAAAGAATCCGGTGCCAACAAGTTGCGATTTTGGTGGCGCTGCTACTGTCACCACCGCCAATCCAAGTAAGAATCTTTCTACTTACCTTTTTATCTTCTTCTTCATTTCTATTTACCCTTTGACCACATATACCAGAACCTCTGTATCTTATCATATACTTACTTTATTGGATTTAATTACAGGTGTAGGTTCATGTATCTATCCATCATCATCATCATCTTCTTCATCTTCATCTTCTTCTCCCTTGCCCACAACACCAACTACACAAGCACCTGTTAATCCAACGGCTTTTCCTACACCTACAACATCATCTTTGCCTACACCTACAACATCATCTTCAGGGTCAACTATACCAGGGTAATGTGTTACTACTTACTGTTATAATAGTGTGAGGATCATGATGTTTTCTAAAGTTATATCTTGAATTTTCAGGATGCAATCTCCTCCACCAGGGTTTAGTTTTGGAAACCCTGATCCGGGGTCAACAGGATTAGGAGCTTTTGGTGCAAGTCCGCCCCTCGGGAACACAGCATCTGCATCAGATGGTTTGCGGCCGTTTGTGGGGTCGCTTGTAATCCTATTTGTAGCATCCATCGTCATGATGTTTGGTGTTTAGAGACATCAAAGAGAATAGATGATATGGTTTTAGACAAAGTTAGAGTAGAAGAGAGTATGATTATTGTATTTGGGTTGTATAATAGGGACAGGTTTTGCAGTCATGTTAAATATTATTATTATGTATTCGCATTTAATTTGATTTTTACTTATTTATTGTTTGGAACATAAGTTACAAGACATCAAAACTATTGGATATGCCAATTGCCGCTATCTAGTTTTTTTAGCAATAGGCGTTAAGTCGTAGCATAGTTGGTTTTTAGAGGGGTCTATTTGCAGAAACAGACGAAGGTATTCAGTTAGCAAGATCCCTCTTAACAAACCCCGTCTGCCACATTGTTCTAAAGTGTCACCTTTAAATTTTAATGCTGTTTTTGGTTCTTTCGGATTAATTTTGGAAAAGGTTAGCGTGAAGAAACTCATGTATTACTCTCAATTTTATGTTTGTAAAGATTTTTTTGAAAAAAAAAACAAAAATTTGTTTTTAACAATTTATTTCTACTCGAAAGTGTATGGTTTCCATCATTTCAAATAGGTTGTTAGGCAACAAGAATGGCTTGGTCATATTTTTTAATGAACATGACCAAATCAACACATATTTTGTTGTTGAGGTAGATGATTACGTACATTAAAATCTATTATTCATCAATATGTTTAATTAAATTAGGAGAAAAGAGGAAAGACAGATTTGGGAAGTTGGGAAGCGAAAAAATATAGGGTTAGAGAATTTTTCTTTCGTTGTCGTTCAAAATTTTGGGCAATTGGCGAAAAAATCTTGGATTATGCCAAGGGGTATCATGACAGCATGTTGATTAGTGAATGTCACATCATTAAGGTAGTCACTCCCCAACAACATGTTTACTAACATTGGGAGCCACTCCACAAGACAATTACTCCTCTTTGGAGGTGGCCTTCATTCGTGAAAATCCTCTCCACATAGGATTTTGACGCGTGAAAAATTCTCAATATCGGAAGACCTTAAGACTATTGTCATTGGTGAATAATTTCATAGTTGATCGCCTTAATTATTATAAAAAATTGTTAAAATAGTAAAATCCTCAAAACCCCACCTACGGGTTTGCTGCAGAGACTATAGTTGTGGAATATTTTATTGTATATCTTCTCAATTATCTTCACATTAATTCATTTAAAGATTGATTTCCTTTTAGAATAATATATATTATATCAAAAGATATGTAAGATAATTATAAAAAATTATCAACATTTATAATTTGTTTTTATTTATAAATAGAGCATAATTTTAACTTTTGACATCGAATTTTATTCTTTATTTTTAATCTTTTTCAATTTTTTTACAAGTGATTTTCAAAAAAATTATATGAATCTATCGTGGATTTTGTCATAAATTATTATCTTCCAAAAATAAAATATGTAATATTTTAATATTATTTAAATAAATAAAAAATAATCATAATTATATTCATTTAATAAAAATTGATTTGAGTTGGGTTGCTTATTGGAGTAAAAATTTAAATGTAATTGGGTTTTATTGGTGAAAGAAAAAAAAATTAGTTTTTTATTAAATAGTTGTGTTTGTTTTGGTTGTGAATGGAGATAGTCTAAAGAATAATAAGTTATGTAGCAAAAACTGTATCAATTTTCTTTACTTGAAAGAAACAAAAATGGTACAAATTTGTTTCTATTAGATGAGTGGGGCCAAATCTTTTTTTTTTTTTTTTTTGATTTTGCGTGTAGTACATCTAACGATCCTTGGGTGGTATCCTCTGTGTTTTGGATAAAAGGTGTTTGTGAAACATAAAGATTGTTCTTCATATTCTTTTCTGATAGCGAGAGTGTGTGGATGCCTACTAACATAGCCTTGACAGTGGAGGGTGTGTGAGATTACTTGTGTGAGTTTATATCTAGGGGCGTGTTTGGCAAAAGTAGTTGTTAGCTGGAAGCGGGTAGCTGGTAGCGGGTAGCATGTAGCGGGTAGCTGGTAGCGGAAAACTGTAACTTTTATTTGGTATATGAGTGTTTGGCAAAAGTAGCTGGACGCTTTTGAAATATATAAAATTACATAAAAGGACAATTGATTAAAAATAAATAAATATATAAATATATTTTTAAGGGTAATTTTGGAAATTGATTGCAAAAGCTCAGTAGTGTTTTGTTAAACGCTACATGAAGTAGCTTTTAGATTTGGAACGTTTTGTTTAAACTAAAAGCTAAACGCTCGTACTACCAAACGAAACTTTTTGTTTAAACTAGAGCGTTTTGTCAAAAGCTAAAAGCTAGAAGCTCCCAAACGCTCTGTGACAAACACGCCCTAGATGTTAACAAGAAATTATTTATTTTAATTATGTGTGTTTTAAGAGAGCTATGGGTTTGTCCTCCATACTCACTATGCAAATCTATTTAATGGTTTCATAACCAACTCTAGGTTGATCAATTTACCTTTGGTGGGTTTCCTTTATGTCGTAACATTCCGTTTTAAATAAATAAATAAAATAAGATAAGTAAATAAATAAATAATAATCCTTAAAACCCCGAGATCTATTTTTTTATATTTTATTTTAGCCCTAAGTCATATTAAATTAGCAGGGTGTACACTTGGGGTGTTAAAAGTTATATTTTCAGGTATAGAGGGTCAAAAATTGTAACATGCAGACTTAAAACGTAAATAATTTTGTAGAGCAGGGGTTGTAGTGTAAATATTGGACCTTATTTGAACTAATTTGTGGAGTCAGGGACCAAACTAGTGAAAATGTATCAAAGTTTCATTTGAACACATAATTTGAACACGACCCTTTCCCCTCCCTTCCCTCATATCATATTCACCCAAAAAAATTACCCTAACCCTAATCTTATTCTTCAGCCGCCACCCTTATACCCCCATCCCTCCAGCCACCACCTATTAGTTGCACATGGACTGCTGAGCATCACCACCGTTGTTCTCGTCGCCGATGAAGACGAGGTTGCGAGCCCAACGTCATGTCAGTGGAGATGTCGGAAGAACAAAGGCACGTGGCTGTCGTTATTGCTGCTCTCGGTGATGAATCGCGCCGCCTCTCCTTCCCCGATTTTGTTCTGTTGCGCCTGGTTCGTCGAAGGCAAACCGGCGTCCGCTGCCGTCCCCATACGACTCCTCTATTTTATTGGCTGCTCTGGTCTTCGTTTGCCACCCCGAAGGAGGCTGTTGTGTTCGTGTTTCGCATGAGTATGTGTATGCTGCTGCTTCAAGTTTGTGTGGTGTGCGTGTGCTTTTTGGGTAGGCCAAAAATCATAAAGGACCACCATGGCAGCTAATCATGGTGGCTGCCGCCCATTTGCTGCCTTTTTTGCCACCACCAGCCACCGTCTATGGTGGTTGTGTGTGTGAGTTATGGTGTGTGTGTCATGTAGTGTATGTGAGCGTATTTTATTGGTATGATGTTGTATAGTCTTTGTTTGGCCGGAAAAACGAAAGAAAACCCACCACCACCACCGTGAGGTGGTGGCTGCCACCTCCTGCCGCCGCCGGCCACCGTTTTTTGAGGTTGTATTGGGCTTTTTCTTATTCTTTTTGGTGCTAGTGTGTGTATGTGTGTGTGTGTTGTAGGAACTTGTATGTGTGTTTGGAGTGTTGGAATTATCACGCAAACCGCCGCCGTGTGCGGGTGGCTGCCACCGCAAGCCGCCACCGACCACCACTGCCCGAAGTGGCAGTGGGTGGTGCCCGATTTATTAAATATATATTTATTTAATTAACTAATCATCTAACCTTAGGAGTTGGAAAACCTAATTAGGGTTAAGAAACATGTCAAGAAAACCCTAGTTTGGAGTTGGTCGGGACCCGTGTTATAGCTATTAATTAAACTTAAAATAATACTTACTAATTTATTACAATTAACTTAATGTAATGTTGGAATTAATGGATGAAGTCCTTAATGGGTTAAGTGTTCTTACTTAGCCCTAATCGTCATTTTATGTGAAACCCTAATAGTCATTTTATGTGAAACCCTAATCGTCATTTCATGTGAGATGGTCACTGTTGCAAGCGACTATGACCTGTGATCGGATATTGACTCAAGCATCTTCCTGTAGGTGATTGGAAGTGAGTTGAAGCTGGTAGAGTTCTTCGTTGCTATGGTGATTATCTATGCACATATCAAGGTGAGTTTTACCTCACTATACCGTGGGTCGAAGGCACCAATGCCGGACCACTAGTTTGGTTATCTGTTAGTAGAAGGATGCCTTAGGGATTGTATGAAATCATGTAGGATAGACTGAGGACTCTTAATCTAGGCTTTCTTGCCTTTTCCTTGTTTGGATGTGGCTCAAGAGTAGGATTATATGTCCGGGTGCCTATCTCACCTCTTCATACATACAGTTATGCATTCCTTAGATTATTGGTACTTAGTATGATGATATGCTGTAGTGATTTGTTAGATATGTATCTTGGTACTTAGTATGCTATTATGCTATAGTGATTTGTTAGATCTGTATCTTGGTACTTAGTATGTTGTTATGTTGTAGTGATATGTTGGATCGGTATCGTGGTAGGTAGATAGGATGTTGCTATGTTGTAGTGATCTGTTAGATCGGTATCTTGGTAGATAGGATGATGCTATGTGATCTGTAAGACATGTCTGTTGTTTATTGGTTGGTTATATGCTTGTTTGTTATGTATGTGTTGACATGGTTTGTGAGTGGTTGGGTTTAGGCGGACCTGCTTTGTGATGAAGGCCAATAGACCTAGGACGTCCCGGATAAAGTATAGGCCGGTGGGGCGTTCCAGTCAGACTGAAGGCTCTGTATGCATGTTGTTTATTGTATTATTCTGGTTTTTGTGATGTGTTGGTATTTTGGGGGAAACTCACTAGGCTTTGGGCTTACAGTTTTGGGTTATGTTTCAGGTACTTCAGATGATCGCGGGAAAACGAAGGCTTGATTGTGCACCTCCTCGTGTTTTGTGTTATGATTTTGGGAAAACTCTGATATTAAACATGTTTTGAAAACTATATTGTAAACAACTATGATTTCTGGTTGGTTTTAAAAAAGTTAAAATTTTTATGAATATAATGGGTGTTACAAGTTGGTATCAGAGCCTTGGTTTGAGTGAATTGGAGGAACATTCGTGTGAATCTAGTCTCAAACTAAGGAACAAGATTTTTAAAACAATTTTCAAATGGTTTTCAAAATAATCAAGGAGGATGAG